GCCTGTAATCCCAGCACTTTGGGAGGCCGAGGTGGGTGGATCACCTGAGGTCAGGAGTTCGAGACCAGCCTGGCCAACATGGTGAAACCCTGTCTCTGCTAAAAATACAAAAATCAGCTGGGTGTGGTGCTGGGCACCTGTAATCCTGGCTACTTGGGAGGCTGAGGCAGGAGAATCAGCTTGAAGCTGGGAGGTGGAGGTTGCAATGAGCAACAGAGCAAGACTCCATCTCAAAAAAAAAAAATCACAGTTTATAAGAGGGAAGTCTGATATTTACTTGCTGCTACATGGTTCTTTCTCCTCTCCGCTACCACTATTATATAAAACTAAGAATTTAATCTACATGTTGATGTCATGTGAAAGTAAGACTTTTTTAGTCATAGAAATTGATGGAGTTTGGGGGAAGATTCCAGAAGTATTCATGTCAGTTTTTCGTTATTTATTATTTACTATTGAGGGTTTCTCAGTTGCAACTCAGTTTTATCTTCTTTCTACCTTAAGCCATGTTAAATGCAGGTATATACCATAACATTTAACACAGAAGCTTTACTGTTATCTGTCATGTTGGAATTGGGGTGATGTCAGAGTTTATTTAATGATTCATGTCAAATGAGTGAACAATGAAGTAGATCAAAGTTCAGTAATTATCTCCACAAAGCAGTACTACTGTTGGGATTCTGAGTTAGATTGAAAACTTCTTGGTGAGCAAAATGTCTTTCAACAGGAATCTCTTGCTGTGACTATATCTCATTTCCTTGTCCCCCTCCCACATACATACAGTGATACACTTATGCAGACATAGAAAATTGTCCTTGTTGGGTTCCCTGGTTGTGAATCACTTATGTGTAGGAGGTTGCTCCTAAAGACTGAAGATGGGATAATGACTACTAGTGGATATTAAGCTACAGTGCAACCACTGCCTTTTGTCAAAATAGAATTAAGCCCTCTATTAATGTGCTTGTAGTACTTGTGCAGTGGATAATCGTTTTAATAGAGTAATATGGAGGCTAAAGAATGGAGTGGGGCCAGGTGCAGTGGCTCATGCATGTAGTCCCAGCACTTTGGGAAGCTGAGGTGGGTGGATCTCTTGCGCCCAGAAGTTCAAGACCAGCGTGGGCAACATGGTGAAACCCCATCTTTATGAAAAATACAAAAATTAGCCAGACATGGTGGCATGCACCTATAGTCCCAGTTACTTGGGAGACTGAAGTGGGAGGATTGCTTGAGCTGGAAAGTGGAGGTTGCAGTGAGCTGAGATCATGCTACTGCACTCCAGCCTGGGCAACAGAGCAAGACCTTGTCTCAAAAAAAGAAGAAGAAGAATGGAGTAGGAGGCAGGTTAGGCTCACCTATTGGTTTTTTTTTTTTTTTTTTTTTTTTTTTTGAGATAGAGTCTAGCTCTGTCGCCCAGGCTGGAGTGCAGTGGCATGATCTTGGCTCACTGCAGCCTCTGCCTCCTGAGTTCAAGCTATTCTCCTGCCTTAGCCTCCTGAGTAGCTGGGATTATAGGCGAGCACCACCATGCCTGGATAATTTTTTATTTTTAGTAGAGACGGAGTTTCACCATGTTGATCAGGCTGGTCTCGAACTCCTGACATTGTGATCCTCCCATCTCAGCCTCCCAAAGTACTGGGATTATAGGCGTGAGGCCCCGCACCTGGCCAGGCTCACTTATTTTTAAACGTGTGACGAAGCTTGGGAAGACTCTCCACTTTTCTCATGTCTCACTCTTTTTTATGTCCAGGTTGTGGCTCCAATTTTTTTTTTCCCTGACTACCCTATTAAAAATAGTATCCTCTCCGGGCGTGGTGGCTCACACCTGTAATCCCAGCACTTTGGGAGGCTGAGGCAGGTGGATCACGAGGTCAGGAGATCGAGACCATCCTGGCTAACATGGTGAACCCCCATCTCTACTAAAAATACAAAAAAATTAGCCGGGCATGATGGCGGGCGCCTGTAGTCCCAGCTATTTGGGAGGCTGAGGCAGGAGAATGGCGTGAACCCGGGAGGCAGAGCTTGCAGTGAGCCGAGATCGAGCCGCTGCACTCCAGCCTGGGCGACAGAGCAAGACTCCATCCCAAAAAAAAAAAAAAATAGTGTCCTCCCCAACTAAATCATTCTCTCTCACATTACTGTTTTTTTCTCCTATGTCATTTACTGTCTATATGTATCATTTTGTTTGCTTGTTTGAATCAAATCACTTCTTAACATTTCCATTGCTGTTATCCTAGTCCACGTCATTATTCTAGACTTTTTCAGCTACCTGTTAATTGCTCTCCCAGTTTCCCTTTTTGTTTCTTATGCCTATTTTCCACAGAACAACAGGGATCTTGAGCAATGTAAATAAATCAGATCGCATGACTGTGTCTGCCTAAAATTCACCCGGGGATTCCTATTATACCTAAAATTCAGTATAGCATCCCCCTTCTTGGGGGTATATTAAATTTAATAATTAAAAAAGTTTTTATTGATAGATGGAGATTTTAAGATTTTTTTGGAGAGAGTTCTGATTTTTGATAGTTGAGCTTAGTGATTTAACTTGTTTCTGACTTTTTTTTCTTTCTTTTCTTAATCCCCAATGTGATAGTATGTTTCTTTTATTATTATATATTTTTTTCTTTCGAGACAGAATCTCGCTCTGTTGCCCAGGCTGGAGTGCAGTGGCGCTATCTCGGCTCACTGCAAGCTCTGCCTCCCTGGTTCACGCCATTCTCCTGCCTCAGCCTCCTGAGTAACTGGGACTACAGGCGCCTGCCACCTCGCCTGGCTAATTTTGTATTTTTAGAAGAGGTGGAGTTTCACGATGTTGGTGAGGCTGGTCTTGAACTCCTGACCTCAGGTGATCCACCTGCCTCGGCCTCTCAAAGTGCTGGGATTACAGGCGTGAGCCATTGCACCAGGTTAGAATGAATCTTATCATCCAATGTCTAACAACTTTATATACTTGAGAAATTGAAGCTCAGAGAGGTGAAGTGCTTTATTCAAGTTGAAATGGCTAATTAATAATAATAGGATTGGGGCAGAAACTCAGTTTTTCTTTTCTTCTAATTCAAAGTCCTCATTTGTTAGTTTGTGATGCCTATATTTAGTGATTTTTTTTTCTTCTTTTTCTTAAGCTGTGGCTCCCGAAGCATCTAGAACCGGAAGCTATATTCAGCAATTTTTAAGTTGAATTTCTGTTAATACTTTTTACAAATAGCACAGGAGGTGAGGACCCCAGCCCCATGCAGATGGCAGCCCGGGCAGGTTGCACCAGTCCTTCTGTCATCACGTTGGCAGACAGATACCTACTCTGAAGCCTTTGTAGGGGCCTGAGCACTTTTGTGAACCTGAGCCGGAACTGAAGCTGGAGTTGATCCTGGGCACTTGGTTTGATCCTTGGCCTTGGCCTTTGGCCAGCACAGCCCGAACCTCTTGGCAATGTGGGCACAAGCACGCTTCCTAGGCTTGGGGTGGGCAATGTAGGCAAGTCGTTGGAGCTTGCTGCTGCCACCCTTTGGGATCTTGGGCTTAACCTCCTTTACGAGGGCCTTCATAGCCTCAGCACGTGCACTGATGACCTTGGCATTGTCGGTCTGGATCTTCTTTAGGCCCTTCTTGTTGTGCTTCTTGGCAAAGCACATGTTCCTCAGGAACTTGGGGTCCACTCCCTTAAGAGATTCGTATCTTTGTGATCGGGGTTTCTTTTCTAAGACAGAGTCTCCCTCTGTTGCCAGACTGGAGTGCAGTGGTGTGATCTCAGCTCACTGCAACCTCTGCCTCCTGGATTCAAGCAATTCTTCTGCTGCAGCCTCCTGAGTAGCTGGGACTACAGATGCACGCTACCATGCCAGCTAATTTTTGTATTTTTAGTAGAGATGGGGTTTCACCACGTTGGCCATGCTGGTCTCGTTCTCTTGACCTCATGATCCACCCGCCTCAGCCTCCCAAAGTGCTGGGATTACGGGCATAAGCCACCACGCCTGGCTTGATTGTGGTTTCTTAATACCATTTCTGTGCCATTTGCGGGAATGGTTGTGTGTGGTGTGGTTCTTGGACTTGGCCATGTCTGCACCTTAAGCCGTGGCTCCTGAAGCACCTAGAACTGGAAGCTATGTTCAGCAATTTTTAAGTTGAATTTCTGTTAATACTTTTTCAAATATAAAACTTAGTGGGATAACAAAGCTGATTTCTAAGGAAATATTCTTCAGGGAATTTCAGTTTCTAACTACAGCGTAAAAATCTCTTATTTCAGGATTAGTTTTTATTGGAAGAATGTCTTAGTTTGTTTTCTGCTGCTATAACAGAATACCACAGATCGATACTTTATAAAGAAAATACATTTATTTGGCTTACAGTTCTGGAAGCTGGGAAGTCCGAGGGCATGGTAGTACCAACATCTGCTTGGCATCTGGTGAGGACGTTCTTGCTGTGTCATAACATAGTGCAGGTGAGCATATATGATAGAGAGGAAATCTGACTGAACTCATCTTTAGTCAGGTACCCATTCCTATAGTTATGGCATTAATCCCACAATTATGACATTGTGTGAGTGCACTCCCACCATCATGGTCATGAGGACTATTCCCTCCTGGCCTAAACATCTCTTAAAGGTCCCACCTCTTAATATTATGACAATGGCAATTAAAGTTCAACATGAGTTTTGGAGGGGACATTAAAACCATAGTTGTTTTCATAGTTACCACATAATAATTGGCTGAATGTTTAAAGTCAAATAATGTATTTGCTATAAAAGGTTGACTAGTGATGAGGTTTCAATAACAGTTGTTTTGTGGCCAGGCATGGTTGCTCACGTCTGTAATCCCAGCACTCTGGGAGGCTGAGGCAGGCCGATCACTTGAGATCAGGAGTTTGAGACTATCCTGGCGAACATAGTGAAACCCCATCTCTACCAAAAATAAAACATTTAGCTGGTTGTGGTAGCACACACCTGTAATCCCAGCTACTCAGGAAGCTAAGGCATGAGAATCACTTGAACCTGGGAGACGGAGGTTGTAGTGAGCTGAGGTCGCACCACTGCACTCCAGCCTGGGTGACAGAGCAAGATTGTCTCAAAAATACAAAACAAAACAGTTCTTTTGTGGGGATTATTTGTAGTTGTTGGACCAGAAGCAATTATTTTTTTATACATTAAAAGAGTTATATAAAATATGAAATGGAGATGTACAGTATAGTAACGTAGCTTATTCAACTTGTTAAATTAAGTCTCCTGTTCTGATTTAGATTGACCCACAATGTTGAATTTAGCTTGGAGAATATAACTTTACTATATCAGCAATATTCCCCAAAGAGCAGGAGTGCCATCTTTAAACATATGGTTAAACAAGTAATAGGAGGATCCATACATTTCTATTACACCTGAATTATTAATTAATTAATTTATTTATTGAAACAGGGGTCTCACTCTGTTACCCTGGCTGGAGTGCAGTGGTGCGAACTCCGCTCACTGCAACCTCTGCTTCCTAGGCTGAAGCTTTCCTCCCACCTCATCCTCCTGACTAGCTGGGACTACAATCATGCACCACCACGCTGGCTAATTTTTCTATTCTTTTTTTTTTTTTTTTTTGGTAGAAGCAGGGTTTCCTTATGTTGCCTAGGCTACTCTCAAATTCCTGGACTAAAGCAATCTGCCCGCCTCGACGTCCCAAAGTGTTCAGAGTACAGGCATGAGCCACCACGCTTGGCCAAGCCTGAACTTTTAGCTAGCTTTCATCATTGAACGAACCTAAAACTTTTATGAAGATCCTCTCCGAGTTAGCTAAACTCTAAAGTTTGAGGACACAGTCTTCCAGAAGATCACTTTCATTTCTGACACCAACTGCAAGTCTTTGGGAGCTGGGGAGGTTCCCAAAGTTTTGATAACTTGCTAAAAAGATGCTAGGAGAACTCACTGCTAAGAGCTATTATATTCATGGTTACAGTTTATTTCAGGGAAAGGATACAGATTAAAATCAAGGCACGGAGCCCATAGAACCAAGTTCAAGAAGGTTTCAAATGTTGGAGCATCTGGTGTTTGCTCCCCATTAAGTCAGGAGGTGTTACTCTCAGTATCAGTATGTGACAGTATGCATGGACTATTGCCATCTGGGGAAGCTCACTTGTGCCTCAGTGTCCAGATTTTCAAATTAGGACTTCATTAAATAGGTATATTTGATTGATGGGTTGCCCACATAGTTGAACTCAGTCTCCAGGTTGGATTCAGACTGATACTGGGTGACCCAAAGTCCCATCCTAAATCACATGGTTGGCCTTTCTGGTTGGCCAACCCTGCCCAGAAAGACACCTCTATTTAGTATGACATAGATTACCTCTCAGGAGCAGAGGGCACCTGTCTTTGGGCAAGGCTAAATTCTTTAATAGGTAGGATGTAAAATTAAAACTTACCTCCATGGTTTCTTTAGGAACAGACTCTGTAGATAATAAGTGGATTTGATCCTAACTCCATGTATTAATAAGAACCGACATAATTTCTTTCAAGTAGTCACTTAAACTACATTATAACCTCATTAGGTGAATCCTCTACTATATTTTTATCCTGCTTGGGCTTCACTGAACTTCTTGGTTTTGTTTGGTTGATGTCTTTCTTCACTTATGGAGAGTTCTGGCCATTTCCTTTTAAAATATTTATTCTATTTCATTCTCTCTCCTCTCCTTCTTGGACTCCAATTACACATTATATTAGACCATTTGAAATTGTCCCACAGAACTTAGACATGCTGTTGTATCCCCTTCCCCTCTTTTTCTCTGTTTCAGTTTGGATATTTTCTGTTGATCTGTCCTCAGGTTTGTCAATCCTTCTGCTAAGTCCATCTAATTAATTATTGATTTCAAATATATTTTTGCTTTCCAGTATTTCTTCTCTATAGTTCCTATTACTCTGCTGAAATGTCTCATCACTTCATACATATTGTCTGTCTTTTCTACTAGATCATTTAATATTTTTATCATAATTTTTTTTTTTGAGACGGAGTCTCGCTCTGTCACCCAGGCTGGATGGAGTGCAGTGGCGCGATCTCAGCTCACTGCAACCTCTGCCTCCTGGGTTCAAGTGATTCTACTGCCTCAGCCTCCTGAGTAGCTGGGATTACAGGTGCACACTACCACGCCTGGCTAATTTTTGTATAGTGTTTCACCATGTTGGCCAGACTTGTCTCAAACTCCTTACCTGAGATGATCCACTTGCCTTGGCCTCCCAAAGTTCTGGGATTACAGGTGTGAGCCACCGCACCCAATCTATCATAATTATTTTAAAGTTACTATTTTTTTTTTTGAGATGGAGTCTCATTCTGTTGCCCAAGCTGGAGGGAAGTGGCATGATCTTGGGTCACCGCAACCTCTGCCTCCCAGGTTCAAGCGATTCTCCTGCCTCAGCCTCCTGAGTAGCTGGGATTACAGGCACGTGTCACTATGCCCAGCTAATTTTTGTATTTTTAGTAGAGACGGGGTTTCACCATGTTGGCCAGGCTGATCTTGAACCCCTGACCTCAAACGATCCACCTGCCTTGGCCTCCCAAAGTGCTGGATTACAGGCATGAGCCACCGCGCCTATCCTAAAGTTACTATTTAATAATAATTCCAACATTTGGGGCATCTTTGAGTTTGCTTATTTTGACTATTTCCTTTACTTTTATTTACCATTGGTCACATTTTCTTGCTTCTTTGTATGTCGCACAATCTTTTATTTTATACCAGACAACTTCTGTTTTTTTTTTTTTTTTTTTTTTTTTTTTGAGACACAACCTCACTCTGTGACCCAGGCTGGAGTGCAGTGACTCAATTTCGGCTCACTTTTTAGTTTTTCATACTTCTCCAAAACTGTCTTCTTTTAAAATCACTAATATTAGGGAGGGGAAATATGACTGCTAATGAGTGCAGGGTTTCTTTATGGGGTGATGAAAAGTATTCTGAAACTTGGTAGTAGGTGATGGTCACATACCTCTCAATATACTAAAAATACACTAAAAACAACTGAATATACTAAAAACAACCGCAATCTCTGCCTCCCGAGTTCAAGCAATTCTCCAGCCTCAGTCTCCTGAGTTTCTGGGAGTACAGGCCTGTGCTACCACGCCCGGCTAATTTTTGTATTTTTGTATTTTTAGTACAGATGGGGTTTCACCACCTTGGCCATGCTGGTCTTGAACTCCTGACCTCAGGTAATCCACCTACCTAGGCCTCCCATAGTGCTAGGATTACAGGTGTGAGCCGCTGTACCTGGCCTGTATACCAGACAACTTCTATAAAACAAAGGAGAACCTGAAGTTTACTTATTTTTTACTTAATATTTACCTCCAAAGTGCCATTTATTCTGTCTGGCCACTAAATTAAGTCTAATTTATAAGATGAGTAAGATGAGTCTGTGCTTTGTTGCAGCTGTAGTTTGATTCAGTTTACCACTGGGTCTAAATACTTTGGGGCAGAATTATGACTTTCTCCTCAGCAGGATTTGGGATCTAAGCACTGATATGATTTCAGAGATCTGTTTTGCCAGCTGAGCTGCCAGCTTTTTAGGTCGCTGGGAGGTTCTCTTTGTTCTTTAATTGTGCCTCTTGCCTTTTTGTGTCTCAGGAGATCTCTGCCTTGCTGCTCTTACCCTTGCCTCAGGAGGGCAGCTGTTTTACATTCTGTGAAGGCTTGGAATGCCTTGGAGGGCTTTTTCTCAGTTCTTGCCTCCAGAGCCTTTGGTAGCCGAAAGCTTAGATTACCTCAGATGGATTTCTGTCTGCTCACTTGCCAGCCTCCTTTGGAAGATGACTGCCTTGTACTTCAGGGAGGCCTATATACTTCAAATGGGATCTCTTTCAGTTCTTCTGACCTGTCTTCAGCTTTCAATGTACTACCTGTGTATTTAGTGAAGATCTGTAGGAGAGTTGGTAGATGGGTACAGATGGGTTCCGTGTCTGGGGCTCCTTGTAATTCTTATTCCAGCACATTAGACTACTCAGCTTTACCTCTACCATGCCTTGGAATTTTAATCTGTCATGCTAGCCTACATTTGGCATTAAAAATTTCTTAAAAGTCTGGTTTGTTTCTTCTTATCCCTGTC